GTTAATGAGTGTTTCGTGGAAGCTGTTATAAAAGTGCGAGATGTGTATAAGACTACCGACTGTAATGAAGATGTAATATCTTTGTTTGACGCGTTGTCACGCATGAAACACGTGTGATAGTGATTGTCATATTAGCTTGACCTGTAGTCAAGAAGGCAATAAAGAAAAAAAAAAGAGAAACGAAGACGGGAGCTGAGGACGAGCGTAGCCTCGAAGCGCTGCATTTTTCGTCACTGTCTTTCCACCGGCCGTTCCGCCATCACCACTATAGATTGCTGCGTTTTGCATGCGCGGTGCGAGAGTGGTCAATGTGTTTCCTTCTTTTTATTTTTTTTCTTCTTGTTTGAGGCGCTAAAGCAGTTGCGCTGCCGAAATTGAAATATCGGACGGGAAGAGGTCGAGAGTCTACCGGGGCGATCAGTTTGGCTGTGACAACTATGATTACGAGAGACGCCGTAGTGGAGGATTGATTGATTGATTTGTGAGGTTTAACGTCCCAAAACCACCATATGATTATGAGAGACGCCGTAGTGGAGGACTCCGGAAATTTCGACAACTACTATCGAAAGCACAAAAGGCTGACAGCCGAGATACCTTCCTTTAAAATGATCTTAATTGGCCCACAAGCCTCTTTCTCCGACAAATATATTATGATATGTTAGATCTGTCCTTGTAGCCGTTTCTTCAATGCACCAGTTTGTGCTTCTGGTGAAGTACTGCTACAGTTCATCATCGGCAAAAAAAAAAAAAAGTCAAAGCTGATGAATAATACAGCTAATCTTTCGTCCAGAATTCTTATCCCGAATCTCTATGCAACAGCGGATGAGTTACAATGCCTGCGGCTATCAAACTTGAAACACATGCATTTTCAAGATTATTGAATGAGCACTTTCGAAACTGCATGGCAGAAAGTTTTTTTTTCTTTCGAAGGGACGTCATTTCCCGACTTGTCAATTTTGCGACAATAACTCGGACAGTTTTACGACAACCAGACTTTTTTCTTTTCGTCGCAACCTGAGTGTCGTGATTAGTCGACCCACAACGTTAAAGTGATGTCGTTACCTGAACATGTGCGGCCGTCATGATGCTTCTTAAAAAAAACAATAGGGAGTTTTAGAATAGCACACCGCGAGCCCTTGCGGTGCGGTCGCTGCCACTGCGCATGCGTCGTAACGCGAGTCGCCGTTCGCGGCCCGCGAGGCCCGCGAAGTGCTGTGTGTAGCTTCCGTGCATTTGGGTTTGAAGTCGGTGCGGAAGTCCCTAGACTTTTCCCCAGGGGGAGCAAACGCCATTCTAAAACTCCTATGGCACCCGCAACTAAAGCAACGCCCGCAATACCTGCAAACGTTATTTTAAAACTCCCTAATATTGCGAAAAAAGCAGGTGCACTTTCCGCGTATCGACTGTCTCAACGCGTGTTGCCTTCGCCCGTTCTTATAGTTCTTATTCAGAACAGTGGCTGTAGTCCCCACGAAGGAGAAGAGAAGGGTCGATTGCGGTGGCGACACGTGTGCAGAGGCAGCCGCATGCGCTGTTTGCTCCCGGAACGACGATATTGTGATGGACCCAAGAACGACAAAGGTCGTTCTTGGGTCCATCCCTCCTCCGCTTTTCTTTTTATAAGCCAAACAAAATCAACCATTTGTATCTCAGCCATAACTACATCGTCGACGCTGCCACTCACCCGCCACCGTGGTCTAGTGGCTAAGGCAGTCGGCTGCTTATCCGCAGGTCGCGGGATCGAATCTCGGCTACGGCGGCTGCATTTTCGATGGAAGCGAAAATGTTGTAGGCCCGTGTGTTCAGATTCGGGTGCACGTTAAAGAACCCCAGGTGGTCGAAATTTTCGGAGCCCTCCGCTAAGGCGTCTCTCATAATCATATGGTGGTTTTGGGACGTTAAAACTCAACAATTAAGATTATTACACGCTGCCATTGAAAAGTGACCATTTAAGTCGAATAAAGATAGCTAACACACTTCTGCCGCGATGGCCAAGAGGAAGTCAGTCGCTACACGTGCGTATGCATGCGCTCAACAACTGCGGCTTACACGCGCAAGTCACAGCGCTTAACTACAATCGGTACATGCACGCGCTAAAGAAAAAGGAATGAAAAATATAACAAAGAAAAAAATAAAACAGGGGCGGGCGCAGCCCAATACGATCATCCCGTCGGGATGAAATTTCCTTGCTCAGAGATTCACTGCGGTGTTCGTGACCGCTTGGTCCACGCACCGCTCTAAGCCTTCGTATCTCTCTCAACCCTTTCACGTTGAATTATAGAATATTCGATTAAAATCTGCAGCCCTGTTCGAGATATTCAGGTGGCTGTGAATGCGGCGCGTGCTATTTATATAGTGACACCTTACGAAGACAGAACTTACAACGTGGGATGTAATTTAAGTATACGAATGGTTTGCTGCTATACAGACGGAACCGCGAAATTGCGTTGCAATAGTTGAAAGCTCCGACGGCGCATTGTTCGACAGGTGCCTTTCGCCGCTTTCAAAGCAGTGCTTTGAAATTGTACTTAGAGTCATAGTTCGTCGTTATAAAATTATGAGTCTCTCTATTTTTTTTTTCTTTGCTCGCGTTCCGTTTGTTCACATCTCCAACAGTATATAGTTCAGCCGTCTTCCAACTTACGTTGATCGGGCTACACCGTTTCATACGTCGTCAACGCAAGAGCTACTCGGCCTATGGGTAACTATATAGCCATAACAACTGTGCGTGTTTTATTGCTATCTGGAACAACTGCCAGAAAATGAAGACGTACTTTAAAAGCTTAACCTTTTTTTTAATCATTTCGTGCCATTCGTTACCTCCTGTTACAAACGTTTCCATAAAAGAGATGTTTACAGAAAGTATAGAAAAGGGTGGAGGGGTGTGGATAAGTAGAGCTGCGTTCAGCTGCTCTTTGACAGAAGGCTGGTGATGACTGCGACTACACACCTGCCGGGTGCTATAGGAAAGCAAAGCTGTGCCAGTGAACTTATAGATGATGAAAAGTGTTCTTGGCTCCTACACATCTTAAAAAAAAGTACGGGCAGTGTCCATTCCTGCATACATACTTTCTTCAAGACGGCGCCGTTGAGGCGAAAATTTTGTATCTGCCAAAATTTCACTAACGTTGCGACATGCCTTGCAGAGAAAGAAATAGCGTTAGGTAACTGTCACGAAGCAAAACTACAGATTTGGATGAACTTTAAAGAACACCAGGTTGTGGAAATTACAGTACCGGAGCCATACGGCATGTCTAATAATCATAGGATGGTTTTGGGACGTTAAATCCCACATATCGATGAAGCAAAGTTAACGCATTCCTTCTTTTCAGTCGTCTTTTTTTTTTTTCGTCCTTCTTTTCTGTTCACTTGTTGCCTACCGCCCCTCGCTTTCAGGCAGCCCATCCTCGTGACCTCATGCACATAACAAAACGGAAGAAAAAGAAAACATACAGGTCGTGGCCACTTGAGCTTCCTTATAAAATAGTTATTAAAAAGGATGAAAGAAGGTGTCAGCGAGAAGAGTGGCTCTTGATCGAAGATAACACTTGTCCGATAGTGAGAAACCGAGGCTGACGATTCACGCAAAGGCGAGTGGAAGGAGGAAAAGAACAAAGCGTTTCCACCGTGGGGCTCACTTACATGAAGCTCGCCATTGTTGCCGTTTAATTAGGCGCGTGTCAGGGTGCCGGGTAGCATGAATGAAACGGGGCCCTCTCCTCGCGGGCCCGTTATTAGCCCCGAAAACAGGGACGTCTAGTGCTCCTTGCGGTCCAGCGCCCACTGAATGAAAACTTGTGTCGAGCGCCCCCCCGACGTTATCAGCAGAATTAAAGCGTCGTGTTCGGACGCGCTCTTTCTGATTACCAAGAACACAAAGTCCGTGGGTAAAGAATGAAGGGCAAAAACAAAAAGGTGAATGTTTGCATGGACCCCTGCATGCGGTGACATCCTAATTCTCAATTTGCTTCCAGGCTGCACTATCCACAGTCATAAGCATTCAGCTATCCGCAGTCATAGTTCCGCCTTGTTTCAAAGTTTATACATCATATAGGCTCGAAGAGGCAAGCTGCATGTACGTATAGGTGCATGCTATATAGTTAGTCACATGTTCAGCTCAACATGGAAAGAACACATTTTGTAATGTAGTTCGAGTCAACGAGAAACTTGCTTTTTTTTACTTCTTCAGGTTCTTATTGTTTAAAATGTCGATTGGAGATGTGGAGTGCCACTTCACATCTGTTCTTTTTCCCTGCGTCGATCAGGTCCGTCCAATGCGTGTCCTAGGAATGCTCTCATGATGCTTCTCTCAATGACACTTCCTTTTGCTCCGCCAGCATATTATACTTCCAAGAATGGTGACAACGCGGCACAAGACTGCAACGATCCCTTATATAGTGACTCTTTCCAGGAAGCTGCTTGTCAGTGCGGGCTAAAAGTGTCGTCCCAAGATGCCTGCGAGAAACAGCCGGTGTACGCACCTTCTATACGCGTGCGAATGTGCGGAAAGTCACGTTACAATGTCTGCGACAGCGTGTGCTCATCTCCGTGTTTTTGTTGTTGTTCATGTTTGCGTACCTTTGGTTCGTTTGCTATTGTGGCGACACACTTCGTTGACACGTCATCCCACGCTACTTAGCTGTGACGGTCCGTATACTGCGCGTGTGTATGCTCATCGCACAATTGTTTCTCCCTTGCGGGGCTGTCGCTAATATAGACGAAATGTAACTAGAGACGCCGAGGGCACTGGACTTCTCTTGTGCGACGCAGTGGAGGCACGTCCGGCGTTGCCTGAACAGGGACAGGGCACTCGGCATCGAACGGGGCTCGCAAGCCAACGGTGGCAGGTTTCACGCGTCGCCTTCCCGGCGTCTTTCTCGTCTTGCACACAACGCGCCACGCAATGCAATCATCCTCGCAAAAGACACGCCATGATGCAACATAAGAGTGCCATGACCCCTACAATGCCCATTCTTCACATTCCCAATCGGATCACTCACCTGTTATACACACTGCTGATCTCGAAAGAAAGCCTGTTGCGTATCCGTACCGGATTATAAAAGGACTCATTGTGGTACTGTGAATGGCGGCGGTGTGAAAATGATCTTCGCAAGAGCGTGGCACTGAGGCGCAATGTGAACAGGGCACATCAGATTACACCTGATCCCGCCTGTTCACCTTTCAATTCGTATGCATTCGCGGCGCGATGCTCTACACAGACACTTATCTATGGTTTTGCCCATTCAACAAAACTGCGACAAGTAAAACGGCTGTAAAAAAAAGAGCTGAAAGCTAAGATGCGCAATTCGCAAGAAAGTCTGAATGTTTCACATCAATGATGACGGTGCGTGCAGTAGCTGGGTAAGCTGCGTAATTCATTGAAGTGTTTTGAAATACCGCGATGCCAGGACTTATAGCTGAACTATATTTCTTCTCGGGTGTCGTGTTACAGCAAGTGTCATAGTAAGGATGGTTCACTATAAGAGCAATGAATGGAGTGAAGAGAGCAGTTTCACATGGACAGCATTATATATGCCACAATACATGTAGGTGTAAAAGTTCTTCGGCTGCGCCAAACCCATACGAAAAGTCTGACCTATACGCACGTCGTAAAAAACTACACCTGTGCGCTTGCTCTACACAAAGCTCCACAACCTCTCAAACAAATAAAGTAGACACATTGCTTATATATATATATATATATATATATATATATATATATATATATATATATATATATATATATATATATATATATATATATATATATATATATATATATATATATATATATATATATATATATATATACACCTCCACTGACACGGAGAGGATTGAATGCCGATTACTCAGGTGAGGGAGAACGCTATGCGGGAATAGCAGGGCCGTGAAGGGGGAGTTACAGGTGCGCTATCTTTTCCACTTCCATGCTCGTAACAGCTTGGCGGCAGGTTCAAGGATACTCGTTTTGATACGTCCGTCGCCGTTTCATCATGGTTGCCACGGCGGCGCGAGGAATGATGGGGGGGGGGGGGGGGGGGGGGGGAGCCAATGTAGTACAGTCGGCGTGAGCCGGGAGGGGGTGCATCGAGCCCAGCATACGGTTGCCGTTGAGCGAGAGAAACGGCGCGAACGGCTCAGAGTCTAGACGGGCGCGCGTTCTTCGCTGGCCAGCGCCAGCCGAGCGGAACGCCGGCGGTGGTCACCCCCCACCCTCCTCAGTTTCTTTTTCTCCGAGCCAAACGGGAGTGTGTGCGGCCGACCGTGACGACGACTGCGTTCGAGCAGCCTAGCAATGCGACGCGGTGTTGCAGCACCCGCGCATCGTCGTCTGTCTTCGTATAGCTTGCGTTCGTGTGTGCGTACATACGCGTACACACATCTTGCGCAGCTCCATCGGCCTTTGTTTGCATTGCACGGACAGAGGCGGCAGGCGAGACGGGGCAGACCAATGGGCAGGAAAGGGGGCCGCCGTCGCGCGATGTGAAAGAAGAGCGCCGTCATATCAGAACACTGCTGCTATAGAAGAGAGCGGCAGATGCAACGGCGCCCATTGCTCGGGTTTTGTTGTGGCAACTCTCCCCGATCTCTTCGGATTGCCTTCTTTCTGTTCTTCCTTTCTTCCCTTCTTTCTTCTCTTTCCTGTCGCCTAGCCAAGGAACACATATATACGACGGCTTAGCTGCGTTCATGTTTCGAGCGCACGCAGTGGTGGGCTAACAGTGTGACGTGCCTTGCCGTGAGCTAGCTGCGGAGTCGCAGCCGAAAAAGTGCTTCGATTTAACGAGTATGGCAAGGGTAGGTTGGACGGCGACTTCAATCACAAACTACATGCTCTCAACAGTAACGCGCAGCAGCAGCATTTTGTTTCTACATCTCGAGAGCTCTGCGCTGAAGACAGTGTTCTGAGAAGCGCTCATAGAAGTGAAAAGTTTTTTTTGTCTCAAAAGCCAATGCTTAAAAGCCACGATACGGTAAAAACAGAGGACTCGCATGAAGAGGTTCTTTCAAGGAACAATATGGTCACCGCTTTATAAGCTTTCGCCCACTTAAGGAACAGGGCTGTGCCTAAGCGCCAGTGATGTCAATATACCAGTCTACCATTATATTTAGCTGTATTTGTTGTCACATAGACGAGCACTAAGCAGAGTCGCGTCTGTTAACATTTTCGTACCATTTGAAGGCGTTTCAGAAGGCTTCGTCAGCATTCTGTACGCTGCAAGAAGTCTCATGTATCCATATACGATGACATTCCGTGCCAAGCTATATCTTTTATGACAATACGTTGATTTGCAAGAAACCATGGTAGCATCGCCATATCTGCTTGGCGGCAGCCGCCATTTCCGGAATTCTTTACGAAGAGGGGTGGGGGGAGGGCTTCGTTTTTTTTTTTTTTTTCTGGAAAGCAAAACAACGGATTGACTTTGAGCGCCTCTCTCTCGGGGAGTGCAGCGGCTACGTTGGGTACGGAGCAGGAATGAGCTGCGCGCACGTCGCGTAGTAAGCTGGCTAATCCTTCCACACGGTCCCCGCCTGCGACCGTTGCGAGGTCGCGCAACGGGACCGATGATATATCGGTGCGCCTTTCCACGCCGCTCGTGGGTATACCGTGCGCGAGGTGGCAGCACTCGCGTATGTACTGCTGAAGGCCCTTTTTGCTTTCTCGCTCGCCTGTGGCCAGCGTACGGTGGCGAGCCGACGCCCTGCGTAGATGTGCCCGCAATGCGGCCATCGTTACGCGCCTTTTCCCCGCTCCCGATTCGTTACGCGCGCCCATGCGTGCGTTCATACGTATGTTTGGTGCGTAGAAGGGCGCCGATCGAGCGATCATAAGGGCTGCCACCCCCCCTTCTTTTCATCTCTTGGTGCCTTGCCGGAAAGTATTCTCCAACGAGGCGCCGTTACGTCAAGACCCGCTTTGCCTTAGCCTCGAGACAAGATACGTTTTTGCTGACCCGCAGGTCGCGGGTTCAAATCCCGGCTACGGCGGCTGCATTTCCGATGGAGGCGGAAATGTTGTAGGCCCGTGTGCTCAGATTTGGGTGCACGTTCAAGAACCCCAGGTGGTCGAAATTTCCGGAGCCCTCCACTACGGCGTCTCTCATAATCAAATGGTGGTTTTGGGACGTTAAACCCCACATATCAATCAATCAAGATACGTTTTGAAAAGAATGTAGCACATCCCACTGCTTCTTATTGTCTGGCGACGCATACGAAGTAGCTGACGGGGATACCTTATCTGTTTTGCACATTTTCGGCCCGTCGGACGAGATCATAGGAAAGCGATATTTCATGCAACAGGAATCGTTGTTGCATTTACTCATGTTTTTTTATGCATGAATGCATAAGAAAGTGTATACGCGCTCGGTGGTGGAGGCCGTCACGGACGAAACAGTGGACATGGTGTTTTCATTTCATGTTTTTTTTTCTTCTTTAAACTTGGTGTACACACGCGCACTTAAAGAACGAACGTTGCCTCTCAGTTCTATCGCATGCGATTACCAGCAGTTCGAACGCACGATAGATTGCTATAAGAGTAACAGCAAGCAAGACAAGAAAACAAAACAAGAAGCGCGTTAGTGCGCTGCGATTGCGTTGAGCAAGATTCACTCGTGCACGCCAGTGTCACTCAATCAGAACGTTCTGCGGTATAATGTTTACCAAGACAAAGCGTAAAACTCGCGCGCCTGCACGGAGAGCTTGGCTCAATGACAGCGCCGCGACATTTGTTCCATCGCCGTTCTCATCTCATCAGGGCGAAAGTTTTTCGCCCCTTCGGCGGCAGGAAATCAAGGCGCAGCAGCCTGTCTCCTCCGCTTGCTGCAGCTACGCCGGCCTCGATTTACCCGAGCGCCTGTCCATGACGCCGAGAAGGGCGCCTTGAGAGCTGTCGCTATATATAAAATGCGATGTCCGACGTGCCGTTCTACCGGATAGGCCTGTCAGGGCAACGAGAACCCGTTGCTATGTGGACTACGTGTCATCCGCAGGAGACCGTGATTATAATGAGCCGGTGCGTCCGGGAAGGAAAATGGGTGAACCAAATATTCCGGGGGCCGCTAGTATTCTTTCCGTCTTTCTGCGGTGTGCACCGCGATTATTATGTCCCTTGAATGACATCTTCACGCACAGCCGGAAGCACTGCATGCGAGCCCATTAGCGTGCGTACGCGGAGCTTAAATATTGCCAACTAGGAATAAAAGGGGGTAACGAACATGACCGGTTGATGGATTGAGTTTTCAGAGACCTCCGAAAAATGTTCTCCCCGAGCACAATGCGTATCTCGCCTTTTCACGCACCCTGTACCCTTTTCCAGATGAAGGACCTTTCACGTTTTCCCTCCCAACTATTTCCATCGTCGCCATAGTTGCGGTGTCAGGCCTGAACTTGAGAATGGCAGTGAGGAAAGATGTGGTACCCGTTGTAGTCGTTAAGTGTGATGTGCGATGCCATCACTGCCGCAGTTCCACTCCCGTCTTGTTTCGGCTGCCAGGCGCGGGCCGGTATACAAGTTGACCGTCCAGTGCAGTCTGTCATGATTCGGTGCACATTTCGATGGCGTCATCGAGATATGATTGCACAAATTAAAATCGTTTGATTGTAGGATCTAACTTCCCGAGGATCCGTCTTGCATTATTTATTTATTTATTTATTTATTTATTTATTTATTCATTCATTCATTTATTTATTTGGTTTGAGTACATAGAAAACACGAAGACAGAGGAAATAGGGAGAGAACAGGCTGCCTCCTATAGGGGCACAACGCCTGCCAATTCCTTCGGGAATGGGGGCATAAAAGAAATAAGGGAAGAAAGAACGAGATGGAAGAAGAAGGTCACAAAAAGAAGAAAAACAATCACGCGCAAAAAAAAAATAGCCACATTCAACTTCAACTTGTGCCCACAATTAACGAGTGTGACTGCGAAGACAGTTCATGCCGGTTTGACCAAGCTCGTCTGCTGATTCAGCGACATCTTCTGAAGCAGCATCCCGATCAGCGTGGCGCAAGTGGATTGTTTCCTTCTGGCATTCGTGGTCGTGGATTGACTCGTCGTGACAGAGCCCTGCTATACAAGATAAGAGTCGGTTCTGTGTCAGTGCGCGAACGATTATACTATCAAGGACGTGCATGCT